TCTCCAAGGTCTGTGAACGCATTTTCTATGAATCTCTCTACCACCACGTCGCCCCTGCCCTCTCCTCTGCACAATCCGGCTTCTGTCGTGGCGACTCAACTATACTTTGCAATTGACACGCTTAATCCAGGATATTCACGGACATCGTAAACTGAAGAAGCATGTAGGTCTCGTCTTGTTTGATCTATCAAAAGCGTTCGACACAGTCTGGTATCGAGGCCTACTTGCTAAGCTCGAGTCTATTTTTCTAGTACGTGGTACAGCTCTGCAGTGGCTGTCGTCATATTTTTGTCGTCCCGTCAACAAACTGTCCGTGACTCTGCTTCCTTGTCCGAACCTTTCAGCAGGTTGCCGGCGAATTAGTCCTTTCGCTATCATTGCCTTCGGCAGTGGGCAAGCTCAAGGTTGTCCGATCCCTTACCTGTAGTGTCTGGTGTTCCACAGGGGTCCATACTGGGTCCACTCCATTTTCTAACTCACGTATACGATCTACCCTCTCTAGTACCAGACGCCAGCCTTTTTGCTGACGACACTGCACTATTGTGCTCTGACAGCTCGCCGTCCAACCGCGTCACCTCCATGCAGACCGGCATTTAACTCCACGATAACATGGATGGAAGCTTGAAAGCTAAGGCCTAACATCGCGAAGACCGAAGCCATGTTCATCAGCCCATCGCTGCCCACTCAGCCGTTGCACCTTCCAGGAGCCAATGCTAACATCAATGTTGCTCATCAACACAAAAACCTTGGTTGTAATAATCGACAGCCATATGTCCTGGTCCCCACATGTACAGTCAGTATGCAAACGAGCTAGTTCGTCCTTTGGCATGCTGCAACCTCACTGCCAACATTAAATGACCATTGCCGAAAATTGTTCTTTACGTCGTATATTCTACTTTGTAGCTAAAATTATTTTATTATTATGACACAGCGTGGTGCTGTCTGTCTCAGGCTCTTGTTCAAACTCTGGAAATACACCAGCAGCGTCCGCTTTTTAAAAATCCTGTTTCGCAAAAACCAAACATTCTCCTCCCAACGTCTCTACAGTTTAGTTTCAGTTACAGTTTAGTTTCAGTTGGCGGAGGGATCAGCAGACGGGTGATACTGTCCCGATTTACAACCAAATCGATTACATTGCATGTCATCAAAATCGGAAACGCATGCTGATGGACTCCCGCAGCTATGGAGGATGCGAAACATCAACAGACCATCGCCTGGTGGTGGCGAGGTTCCTCCTCAACCGGATGTATGGAATATTCGGGCATCATAGGTCAGACGAGCAAACCTCCCTGAAGCCACTTCGATACAACACAAGTGATCTGCCGACAAGCCCACGGATCCGGGAGAAATACGTTGATACAATCGTCGCAGAGTACGGGGACCGGCATTGCTGTGGCAGAAAACAGCATCGGCGATAAAGAATGCTGCAGAGAAATCGCTATGTCTAGAGGCCCGGACAAAGCGTAGTGTGAAGGACAGCCCTGAACTGCGCCGACTGTCTCAGGCGCAAAAAGAACTAGAATTACGTATCGAAAATATCACCAACACCGGTACTCAGGCAGGCCTGAAGAAGGAACGCAACCGCATTCTTCACAGCATCAGAAGAACAGCGCTGAAGGAAGCAGAATTACGGCTGGACGAAAAGGCAAAGGAGGTGGAGAAGTTGCGGGACGGTGCTCGAATGTTCAAAGCTGTTCAGTTAATGCGGAGACGTGGAGCTGTGAAGCCTACAGTTGCTAACAACACCGGAAAAATCATAGTAAACGAGAATGAAGCAGCTGAGGCAATTGGAAGCCATTTCTCAAGTCAGTTCAGCTCACCAAGCGCCACAGACATCTCACCGTTCCAGGGACAGCCACGTCCTCTGCAAACTCCCATTACAACTTCAGAGATTGCAGGCTGTCTCGGGAAACTGAACAATAGCCGTGCCGCAGGAGACGACAGTATCCCCACAGAACTGATGAAGTATGCAAGTGATGCTTTGGCTCCTGTGTTGGCCAGCATTTTCAACGGCATGTTTGAGCAACACGAGGTGGTTGATATAGGCAGTGGCAGTCTCATCCCACTTCAGAAACCCAACACGCCGCGAGGACCACCATCAAATTTACGTCCGATAGTTCTTCTCAACACGCTGCGGAAGACCCTGTCACTCCTCACTTTAGCTCGAGTCAGACCCAAGGTTGACCAGTACCTAGCCCAGACGCACAGCGGCTTCCGCCCTGGCCGATCCACCGCGGATGTGGTATGGGCGCATCGATGGCTTGTGGCAAAGACGCAGCGCTACCACAGCACCGTTCACCTGCTGTGCATTGATCTGTCGAAGGCTTTTGACACGATCAAGCGAGACACCTTGCTGACTGTTCTGGAGGCGTTTCTGAGTGACGATGACGTTCGCTTGATCAGGGTCTTGATCTCTAACACCAGACTTCGTGTTCGGCTTGGGAGGTGGCTGTCGGAATCATTTGCTACAACGAAGGGGAAGCCACAAGGAGATTGCCTTTCCCCCGTTCTCTTCACGATTTACCTGGAGGCTGCGCTCCGACAACTAAGGCAAGTGGTGCCAGCAAGACCTCTCAGCGACAACGGTCTGCCGCTCGAACTTGTATATGCGGATGATGCAGACTTTGTCAGCACCTCAAAGTCCTGGCTGGCGGACGTGGAGGCGACTGCCAGCACGGTGCTACCACAGTGGTCCCTGATCATGAACCGGGACAAAACTGAGTATACGGACGTCTTCAGAAGTGCGGACAGGATCGATGAAGAGTGGAGGACAACGCGCAAGCTGGGTTCGCTGCTGGGCGACGAAGAGGATATTATGCCACGAAAACAGCTGGCGACTGCAGCATTTCAGTCCCTATGGAGCCTCTGGAAGAGGCATCAGCACATCAGCGAGAAGTTGCGTCTGCGGCTGTACAACACTTTTATTATTCCAGTACTGACGTACAACTCGGGTACGTGGGGGGTCAGTGTGACCGTTCTGTCTCGCCTGGATTCCTTCCACCGCCGTCAGCTAAGGTCACTCATCGGTGTGAAATGGCCACAAATAATACCGAATGATGCTCTCTATGCCAGATGCGAAGCTGAACCCTTGAGTGTCATGGTCAAAAGATCACGCTGGAGGCTGTTTGGCCACATCCTGCGGATGGCAGATGAATCCCCAGCTGTTATGGCTATGTTCACGTACTTCGCCAATCAGCAACAGCAATGCTGGAGGGGTAGACCGTGGACGACCCTGCCGCAGGCATTGGTGGGAGATCTGCGCCAAGCCAATGCTGGATTGCTCGGGAACCTAGACGCTCTGCAGAGCCTGCGAGCCATTGCCCATGACCGACCCGCATGGCGAGATCTATGTATGAAGATCTGTGCATCGTGATATTCCGACAGATCCTGAAACAATCAAACTCAGGAAATAGCACTATTATTATCACTCAGGCTGCAATATTCAATGACATATAGACATAATTCACAAATTAATTAGACATAATTCATAAATGACATATCTTCAATACCCATGAGCTACATTGTATATAAAAATGTATCATTATATCATTGTTCTAGCTCGGTTTTTTTCCCCTGTCATAGTCCTGTTTATCATGTTCAGCATAAGCGAAGTTGTGGATCATGCTGGCACGGTTGACTCCAACGCGTACATGCAAGTAATAGTAATAATAATCAGTATATAGTTTATTACCTGTGCAAATTGTTCCTAGGTTTGTGCTATTTTTCTTACTATGCTTGTATCCTCGCTGTTTCACTCCAAGTGTATAAATCCTATTGTAGTTTCATCATTCTCTTTAGTCACGAATTCCATTGATAATTGTGACAAGAAAACGTTCTGGAATACATTATTCGTCCCCATGGTTGTGATATGAGTGCGCATTTAGTTATATTCATTGCATTAATAATCAGTGTCTTCCCTTTTAGAGCGACACCAGCAACATCTTTGCATCCTTGTACACCTGATCTTATTAGACCTGGTTCCCAAACACATTGCTAAGTATAACTGGTTTGTGTCCACCAGATCAACACGTAATTCCTTCTCATTACCCCGTGTCAACACCTCCCTGTTTCTGACATCTCCTATCTTCTCCGCGTACACTCGCTGGTCTACCCTGCCAACTATCCGTAAATCATGCACATACATTCCAACTAAATGATAAGGAGAGAAACAAAAGAGAGTCCGAAGCTTCTTCGTCCTATATAATCCCACCATTTTCGCCATTCATCTTCTTGAAGTACTCTCTTTTGTTTCTCCCCTTATCATTTAGTTCGCCGTGGTTTGCTACCACCCGACTTCTCTTAAATATTGGCAGTCTTACGACGAACCAGGAGACGCTGAATAAGTTAATACTCAGCCACTGCAAGATGATCGCAAACGGCAGCTTTGCAGTTTGATCCACAGAATTCGCCTAGGTAAAATTCGCATTCATCTCCCATATTCGATTTTTTTTTCTTCGTCCCGGTCCACATGTACATTTTTTTTTTTTTTTACTATTGAACACTCACTGCATGATGAACTAAAATGAGGAGAAGAACTCGACACAATGGTACATATCCAGCAGGACGGAGTGGGTGGGACCTGTGAAGCTCAGCCGACCAAGGGTCTCGGCATCACAGCTGCACATGTGCACCAAAGGAAACAAAAATGGGGAGTGGAAGGGCGGGGAGGGGAGCAGGAGAGCAAGAACTCTAAGGGTAGGAAAGAGATGAGACATGTAATAGTCTCTCACTTTCTCGTGCTAATTCAGCCGCATTTCCCAACTCTCCTCTGTTTTTGTCCTACACCTTTTGGCTGCAATTTCCTCTGCAAGTTAAGATATTAAAAGGTCTTTCCAGCTTTAAAAATGCTCTCCGATCGCATAATGCAGTACAATATGATCTCCTTGCTGGCTTCTTGACTATCCTTCTTTCTTCCCTTTTTCTTTCTTTCTTCCTTTCTTTTTTTGTTTTGTTGCCGTGGTTGGCTTTCATCCCTCTGTCGCACTTTGCGTGCCAATTGGTCATGGGCCACGAATTGAATGAAATATATATAAATAAATAAATCTTGACTAGTACATAAATGCATTTTCTCAATACTGCGCCAAATGACATAAGCCCCCTCTCCGGATTTAGAGGCTCAAATAAAATAAATCATTTTCAACGAACTCAGTCAAGAAACTCAATTCAAAAGGAGAAAAACAATAACAAAATACAACAACAAAAAAAGTGAAGGATAAAATTTAATGATAACACAGAGTACAAGTTCAGGAAATCAGGTGACACAGATGATCAGGATCAGGAGATCAGGAGAATTTCATTAATCGCTGACACGCGTAGATAGGAAACCCATAGTGTGCGCTTACAAGTTGAGCTGAGGTCTGAAAACACACTTTTCTATAATTACCTTCCGAACATCGGCCTGGCCATCCAGAAGGAATCGTATGTCTACGATGCAGGGGTGTCCAAAGTATCTGCTCCTGTATTCTATTACTTTGTCAATAGACAGTAAAATTCGAGTACAGCTGGTGCTCGACGGATCTGGTCTGCTTATAGCATAGTTCGCATTCCTTGTAGACCGCTCCAGATCCCACATGAATTCATCGTAATCTTCAAAAGAAAGTGTACTCAGCGGAGGCCCCCATATCAGCGGTGTAGGAGAATCTGTGAACAGGTTTTGCCCGACCTGAACTGTGTCAACTCGCCTGGATCGTGAGCATCGCACCATCTCTTCCACCCATAGTGCGGCTTCCTCATGCGATAGATTCCATTTCCCGCCATCTTCAACGGGAAGGATGACATCCTGCATACCGAACATATCCAAATATATAGTGTCAATAATCCAATGACATACACCAGCGTTATCATAGAAGGTGTCGAAACAGATGACGAAAACATACGTCTTGTAGACTCCAGGCAGGCCTCTGTGATGTAACGTCTGGAATTCGAGACGGATTGCAGGATTATACCATCGCTCATCAGTCACCCACTCCTTATGATTGGGTGTGCCACGACGAAGTAACGCATGAAGGCTTGGACCCTCAATCGTCTGTCGGCCAAGCTTAACAGGGTGACCAGTGATGACTACGGTTCCAGATGGCCTGAATAATGGTGGGCCCCAGACGGTTCTTTTTGTTCCATCAGGATTCTTGCTCAGAACTAGAACATCTCCATCGCCACCTGGAAGCTTTGGGAGGTTTTTGGAAGACAAAAGTTTTACGAATTTTTCCAACTGAACGATGGAATGTTTCGTAGTCATCTTCTACAGTTCCTCTACGGGCAGTATCCACCACACTGATTCTTACTCAGAAACATTTCGAAGTCCTTTTTAAATGCCCCGGGCGTGAATTCAACGCTGCACATTCTATGTGGTCTGAGCTTTGCGCCACCTTCCGCTTTGGTCGGCGCTGTAGTTGACACAAGGTATTTTTGAAGTATTTTCTTGTCAACATGCAGTACACGTATCAACCTATAAACGGAGAGAGAGATTATTATTAATAATAACACCTAAACAAATTAATGCTAACAAAGTATCACAAGGTATTCTTGAACGATACCATGTGCGTGAACAGTAACAATCGAACACTCTAAGGGGACAAAATCAACAGGTATGAAACAACACTAGTGACACAATTCTGGCCCAACACGGCGGCCAGACGAACACAACATTCTACTGGTAGAACAATTTCAAAAAGATAACACTCTCCTTTCGAACACAAACTCCTTCTGTGTATAATCATTTTGGTATCTCGTCCTGAATGTTGCCAAGTGTATTCTGATTCATGTTTCTCCGTTTTGTGTCGTGGCCCGTGCCGTCATGGTTATCAGTTACATGTCAGTGTTTTGGAGGCTGTGTTCCAACGCATTCATAAGCCTGACCTTTGTGCTCAAAAGGAGAGTGTAATCTTTTTGAAATTGTTCAACCAGTAGAATGTTGTGTTCGTCTGGCCGCCGTGTTGGGCCAGAATTTTGTCACTAGTGTTGTTCCATACCTGTTGATTTTGTTCCCTTAGAGTGTTCGATTGTTACCGTTCACGCACATGGTATCGTTCAAGAATACCTTGTGATACTTTAATGGCATTGGTTAGGTGTTATGATATCCAAATAATCTACGTGGAGATAATAATTCTAATATAGCTATGAATAGGATGAAGGCCGCAGACATCACGCAACTACGTTACTTGTTCGACATGTATGACTGTGTATTTTATAAAAAAATATCAGGGGTGAAAGTTGGCACTGATATCCCGAGGTCGAGTACTCTGATTTTTTCCGAACCAATATTCGGGTATTCGACTATTCTTCATCTCCTAAAAATTGCACACCAAGGGCCTTAACATCACATGATACAACCCTGATTGAAGCGAGTGCCAGTCATTTTTCTCGGGTATATTGTTTGGTGGGTCATGTGGGCTCTCTCCAGTCGTGAACAAATGTTCACCACACAGTCTGCACATCAATATCTGGCGACTGCTGCTCTGAAACTGCAGATTTCTGTGGTTAATGCATGTACCTTGTATGAACGAGTACTCTGATCTATTCCGAGTACGATTATTTTTGAAAAAACCGAGCGAGTCCTCGAGTATTCATGTAGGTTTGCAGCGTACGGCAAACCGTAGTTATCGCTGACAACCGCGCGTTAACCGAGCAGCAGGCAAAAGCCACGCGCGTGGCTAGGCGCGCAACAATGGGGGTGTCTGGCATGCAATGGCGGGCAGCCGTACTGGGGAAAGCCCAGGCCGCAGTACGAGTACGCCCATATGCGCGGGCGAGACTACCCCATATTTGCATAAAGGTATCAGCGCTACTAATGCAATGTTTACTACAAGCAGGGCTCATGGCGCCTAATCTCTATATTAGGAAGCAGTTCCTTTTATGGCACGAAAGGACTCCAGCGCGCGTACTAAGCCTCAGCCAAGGTACAGTACTAACCGAGTACGCAAGATAGAACAGGCGGTGTGGCGGAGCAAACATACCACGTATGGAAGAGGCGAAGTCCCCGGATATGCGGATGCCGCCCGGCCCACAATGACAGACACCACCATGCTTATATGGGAAATAAGGCGCGAGAGCCCACCAGGTAAGGCGGGCCACATAAGCACGTGGCAAGCGCAAATAGCGTAAGACGTACCCACGAGGCCACAACGGGAGAGTACGGCAGCATGAGCAGAGTACGAGAGTACGAGGCCGGATCAACGCAGGGCGGACCAAGGTGTGGTAGTGCCACAGCACGAGGCACCTCAGCAGTTGGAGGTGGCGAACGCAGGGACAGCATCAATATTGGCAGCTAGCAGCAGCAGCAGATGGGCGTGATTTTTTTTTTTTTTTTTCTTCAAGACTAGCAACGAGGAGCAGCAGGCAACCCTCGTTTCACTCGTGATTGCTTAATCACATGGCAAAAACAACAAAAATGCAACCCCATTCTATGGTGCTATGATGTGTGTGTCTCGGGGGGAGGGGCGATAAGGTATAATTGTTTCACCCCTAGAATAAAGAATATAATAGATGCAGACATGGCCAGACAACAAGTTCATGGAATTTTTAAAAGGATGTTTGTGTTATTCAAAATCGATTTTCGTGTTCCGCTCATCAGTGAATGGTATCGGAACTGAGGAAACAAAAAGAACATTTTATAACAGCATATTATGATATTATTAATAACCTACGTGGAGATAATAATTTTAATATAGCTATGAATAGGATGAAGGCCGCAGACATCACGCAACTACGTTACTTGTTTGACATGTATTACTGTGTATTTTATAACAAAAATATTATTGAAAACCCAGAATCGATTTTCTCGTTCCTATCATCAGTGGGAAAAAACGGAACTAAGGATACAACCAAAGAAACTGAAGTTAAGTACTGTAAATAGAAAGGTGTTAGAAATAACATCAAGATACAAGTGCAATAAAACCACTAGAGGAAACGCAAAAAAGGTAACAAGATTACATAACCAAAGGCGAGAAGGCACTAAACGAAGTGTCAACCTACGAATACAACTTCAGTGCAACAATGTGCTCTTTCTGCTTACACAAAACAGGCTTATGAATACGTATACAAACTGCCTCTAGGACTTTCAACTGTTGGACATAACGCGCACGACACAGTAATGAAAAATGAGAGTCATCATACACACCAAGACAGTCAGGACGAGATAAAAGTAAAAAAAAAAAGTAAATTATCGTATCCGTTCCCGAAGGGAACTCACGACGGCCGCTAACACCCGATAAACCCTAGCGGCAGAGATAACAAGTGTAGATACACAGCCGACTTCTTACGATCAACACATTCATCCGCCTCATCTCGCTCCTTCCCACCCGACTCCTCCTCGTCCATCTCATCGTCATCTTCCTCGTTCCGCTCGTCATCCTCACGATCATCATCACCGTTTCTTTGGTTGTGTCCTTAGTTCCGTTTTTTCCCACTGATGATAGGAACGAGAAAATCGATTCTGGGTTTTCAATAATATTTTTGTTATAAAATACACAGTAATACATGTCAAACAAGTAACGTAGTTGCGTGATGTCTGCGGCCTTCATCCTATTCATAGCTATATGATATTATTACTATTATTAAAAAGCTTACGTGGAGATAAAAATGTAATCAACGCAATAAATAGAGTAAGCTGCGCACTCAGTACAAACACCATTAGCAAAACTTGTTTTCATGTAAATAAAGAAGCTTGTTCCTAAACGTGGGTAGGACCCTTCAGCACCTGGAGGCACGGATCCACCAGCATGTGCCTCTTCACGTTATGCCTGTTGAGGCACGTTCGTCAAGGCCTAGACGAGGTCGTCCCCCAAAGAATGGTACTGAGACTGGAGGTGCACCCTCGCTGGGGACGGAACCAACTGGGGTGTCGTTGTCTTCTTCGTCGGCATCGGCATGTTCGTCATTGCCTTCGTCTTTACCGTCTCTTCCTTCTATCCAGTCATCATCGTTGGTATCTGCGGTTTCGTCTTCTTTGACTTCCTTGGTACCGTCATCCGGTGTGTCCACCTCCGGTGGCAAAAAGCAGAAAATATTACAAAGAAATTGAAAGAATGTATTGTCTACGCATGCATCTACGCAAGAATCACCACCAGCCAATTAGGACATGTGTCAAAAAAGGATTGAACGTTTTCGTTCCCTTCTTCTCAAAATACTACAGGGAATGATGGAAATAAGCTAAGAGACTACAACTATAAAGAAAAGAAGTTCAGAGATACATCACTCAAATTATGTGTAGAAGTTACACGAAAAAAATTAGATGTGAAGAGTCAAACACAGCTTGCAAATCCAATAAGTGACAAAAACGTAGTGACAAGAAAACGAGAGAAAATATCAAGAGATCCTCTGTCAGATACTTCTTCTTTCGTAATTTTCTAAGTCCTGTCCTCTCTTTTCTAAATGCGGCTTATCCATTCGCCTTTATATCATTTGGCCTAGTTCCCGTTTATTGTGCGAATTAAAATAAACCAACCAACCAACCAACCAACCAACCATCATGGGATCTATTTCGCACCTTCACGACGAACAGTGCCAAATAACTGCAAAGACAACACATTATCCTTCTGAACATAAAGCTCAGGGTCTAACTTACGTATGTACAAAGCTTCCAACACGGCAAGATGTAACAAAGACCTACTACGCGACAAAACAGAGAATACATCATCGGAATACCACTCACGACAACTAGCACTGCCCGACAGGTGATACTTGATTGCCGATGTTCTGTTTCCTTGACCCGACGACTTGGCCGTTGTCACCTCCAATCCTGCCTCTTGCCAATCTCTCCCATTACGCCCTGCATCCCTGCAATTCCGATTGCCTCGGTCGACATCAGTATGCTGCTCCACGTCCAGTCTGTCCTGCTTCCGTGGTCTACCTTGTTTCTTCACATTAACCATTGTTGTCACTTCCAGTATTGGTTCTTTTGACTCCTCATCAATTCGTCTCCTCAATTGGCTTCTGATGACTAGTCCGGGGCTCGATTGTTCAGATGCCAGTTTCGGTGGTTTCCGTATCGGTCTCTTCTTCTTGTTGACTGTTGTTTGGGTTGGCGCCAGCCCTGCGCCCGATGAAAAGGAGGAGGGTCGGCAAGCGTATCCACAGCGGACTTGGACGAGTCCACCTCAGACACAGACTGCACTGGACACTTCGGCGGACGACCACGCAGAGGCCGAGAAGCACGTGCAGCTACAGGGACAAGATTCAACGGTACAGTCATGTTGACGGATCCGTGCGCCCAGGTGCTGAAAGGTTCTACCTACGTACCGATTTTCACAATTTCGGCACAGAA